CCCAAACATTGGTTTGAAGGACTTAATTTAAGGATCTAGATATTTGCAGCAGGAGTAGGTTTTTTAACAATCTGTTTGTTTTTAATATTTCAAGTCCTCTGGAAGCGTATTGGACAAACCCAAAGACAAGAAGCCCAGGTCCTGACCCCCTTTGCTGTGAATTCTGCATGTCTAAACAAAAAAGGGGGAGATATGGTGTCATGGTTTGAGATCTCCAAAATCCAATTCCCTAGTCCTAGCCCCCTCCCACATCTCAACCTAATGTGGGATGATTTTTTTCCAGACAAAACACGAGACTCAAAATGGGGGAAAGGGAATATATTACAATGACTGTATAAATAAATACTACAATACATTATAGACAATCTTAGCTATCTCTACCATGACATAAGTATTTACAATGGATCAAATCTCTTCTCCCTTCCAAATAAAAGTCCAGGAGGGAAGAAGGACAGATCCCTTCCACATTTTGGGGCAGCAGCTCCTCTTCTGTCTTCCATGCAGCAGTTGCAACTGGATTGTTGCAGCTGGATCTCTTCAATACGCACAAGGGGGTGTCCAAGCCCCTCGGTTCTCCTTTGACTCCAAGCGAAGGTCTCACCTGTGGACTGCCAGCAGGGACAAAACTCGCTTCACCACAGGTATATCATGAAATGCAGGGGCATCTTCGTGAAAGTCCCTTCCTCAAGGGATTCACCCCTGAGTCAGAACATCTTGGGCAGCTTTCAGTTGAAAGTCTTTGCCTCAAGAGTTCCAGCAGAGCTCCTGTGCTCTGTCTCAACTACCAACGTGGCAGCAGCAGTGGGGGGAGCAAGGTCACCCCCCTCTGCATTCCATCCGGCCGTCTCAGTCCAGCTCTGGGACATCTTTGAGCTTCTTAGCTCCTCTCTCTCCGGTGCTGCAGCACTCCAAGACTCCTCTCCTTAATAGGAGTCCATCTCCCTCCTTTCTCGGAGGTCTCAGAGGGGTATGGGGTTTTATTTCCAGTTCTTACCCCAGCTTCCTATCTCTCTGCTGCTCTCTCTCTCCAGACAACTCTGTATCTTCCTTGGCTGCACGCTGTTTTGCTGTTTCTACAGTTCAGTTCTTATCTGTCCTGGCTCTCTGCCACCATTTCTCTGGTCAGTGCCGGCTGCCACTACTCCTGCCACTGCCCATGGTGGAGAGAAAACTCCCAGCCTTCATAGCTACAGACACATAGTCCAGCTTAACACTGTTCCACGTCTCTGCAGTCCCCAACTGGGGTTGGGGGAGGGGAGGCCAGAGGCCCCCCAGAGGGCTCCTGCCCTCTCCTCATGGCTTTCACAACATGGCTACTCTTCTACACCCAACCAACAACTCTTCTCTTCCATTTACTTGTGGTATGTTTATATTTTGCAGAAGCATTCATTGGACAAAACTTCAAAACTTCCAGGGCCACCACCTCCTGGGGTTTTATCTCTTTCAACTGCAGGGGGGAAAACCTGGTTCAAACCACTACATATGGGAACAAGCTGAGTCACTCTGCACCTGCATTTAGTTAATCAAAAGGGAGGATCGACCTGGGCTAAGTCCTTTGAGAGAGAGAATGTTATGTCTCAAAGTGGAAAACCACTTAACTAGCCTGCACGGTAAGCGCATGTTTTTCTCTTGTGGCTGAACACAGACACCACTTGATGGAAGTGTGAATGTGTGGGATCAGGGCACTGGTTTGGGACGATCTTGGGAATTCCAGATAACAAAAAGAAAAACACTAGGTGCTGTTTATGAGAGAATATTAATGAAAGGGGAACACCAAAAAGTGTTGGTGGGTAAGTCCCAAAATCAAACTCTGTGTGTGCAGCCTCATTTTCTCCTTCAGCACCCATATCTCTCCAGCTCTCCTGGAACCCCTTTAGGCACTGGAAGGTACTCTAAGGTCTCCCTGAAGCCTTCTCTTCTCTGGGCTGAACACTAGCTCTCCTAGTCTGTCTCCAGAGCAGAGGTGCTCCAGCCCTTTGAGCACCTCTGTGGCCTCTCTGGACTTGCTCCCACAGCTCCACATCCTGATGTTGAGACTCCAAAGTTGGAGGCAGCACTGCAGCTGGGGTCTCACCTAAGCAAAGCAGAGGGGCAGAATCCCTCCGCTCACCTGCTGCCCACTCTTTACGATGAGCAAGCCCAGGACACAGGGGGTTTCTGGTTGCTGGTGCACATGGTCAAGTGTTTCTCATTCACCAACACCCCCAAGTCCTCTTCAGGGCTGCTCTTAATCCATTTTCTGCCCAAACTGTGCTTGAGATTGTCCTGACCCGGTTCCAGGACCTTGCACTTGGCCTCATACCAACAGAATCACACTATGACTTTGGTGATGGTCTCTGGGCCTATGGCAATGACTCCAACCCATTGAAACTTCAAGCTCCTCTTGCTGTCTCATGCCTTCTCAAGTCCCCCATGCTCCCCTTGATACCATCTCATAATCCTTGTATTGGGTTGACATAGTTTGAGACCCAAAACCAATTTTTCAAACCCCCACAAATTTGCTAAAATGTTGAGAGAAGTTTTCAGACAGGCAACAGACTCAACATGGGAAAATTATATCAAAATTTATTGCTAACAGAATAGAAACTATAAAGTAATATATACAACAATACTAACTAATTCTCCTACGATAAAACAATGTATTTACCAACGTCACCCTTTCTTCCCCCATAAAGTCCAGGAGGAGAAGAAGTCTCTCCTTCACTCTCAGGGCCACAGCTCCAAATTAAGTCTGCGGCACTTGGATGTGTCTCTTCTCTTATCTTAAGGTAGCAGTTCTGATTTGTTGTAGATGAAAAATTTCTTTCTCTCTCCATCAAGGTGCGGGGAGCCTCTCTCACCCCCCCACTGGCCACTTGGTTTCAACCAAGGGTTCACCCATAGGCTGCAAGTAGGGACAAACTCGCCTCACCATGGTCGACATCATGGGTTACAGGGGTTAAAGTTCTGAGTCTCTTCCCCATTCCGTGGAGATCCCTTTCCTCGGGGAACAATCTCTCAGGGGACCTCTCTAAGAGGTCCACCCCTTCCCTAGGCCAAAAGGTTCTGGAGTTTTTGGGTCAGTCCCACCCCAGAAACATTCCAGTTTGCCTTTCTCTCTGGTGCTGCTTCGAGTCTGCTGCCTGAGCTCTGCTGCCTCTGCTGCTTCTGCTTCAGGCACTGCTTTACTCCATGGCGTGCTTGCCACAGGATCCAGTCAGCCGATCACCACCCCTCACCTTGTGGTGAGGGGAGCCGGTGAGGCCAGCCAGAGAATTCCTGGGAAGTTTCTCTCTTTTGCTTTCTGGTTGCTGCATGTCTTAGCTAGGGGTTCAACTCGGCTTCAGTGCTGCACTTGCCCCAGGCCAAAGCCAGGAGGGGGAAAACCCTCCGGCCCCTGAGGGGCCCTGCAGCCCCTTTGCTGTCTCTACCCCATGACTCCTCTAATGCCAACTGCGCCAACAAACTTCTTTTCCAATTTGTGAGAATAATTCATTTCTGCAGAGGTGTACCAAGCTTCCCATTGGCTCTACACTGGAATTCCACCCCTGGAACTAGGCATCTTCCAGCTCCAGGGGGGGATAATGGGCTCTCAAACCACGACATGGGTTTACATGACCAAGTTTGGGTAGCAGGGGGCTGCAGGGGTGTTCCTTGTTAGAAGACACCAGAAGTTGCCCTCATGTCATGCAGAGCCACCTTCAGGTGGCTCCAAGACAGATCTGCTACTGGCCAAGGCTGAGTCCGCCAGTGATGCTGGTAGAGTCTGCAAGAATGGATTTTAAAAGGGGTAAAAACTGCTGTGGAACAGCAGCTGGGAGGGAGGGACGAGAAGATGAGAGAACAACAGCCCTGCAGGCACCAAGGCCAGGGAGGAAGGAGGGTAGGAGGTACTCCAGGTACTGAAGCAGCCTGCTGAGGCAGGAGCAATCCTGCCATGGTGAGGCAGAATTTTGCCCCGTAGCCCATGGAGGTCAGTGGAGGAGCAGATACCCACCAGCAGCCCCGTGTGAAGGACCTCACACCACAGCAGGTGGAGATGCCTTGAAAGAAACTGCAGCCTGTTAAGGGCCCACACTGGAGTAGGTTCCTGGCAGGGGCTATGCTCTGTGGGGAGGAGTCCCTGCAGGAGCAGGACTTGACAGGAGCTGTCACCTGTGGGGGACCCACACTGGAGCAGTGTGTCCCTGAAGGACTGCAACCCATGGAAAGGGACCCACAGTGGAGCAGTCCTTGGAGAACTGCAGCCTGTGGGAAGGATCCACATGGGAGAAGTTTAGTGCAGGACTGCCTCCCATGGAAGCAGCCTCATGCTGGTGCAGGGAAACAGTGTGAGGAGGAAGGAACAGATGAGACAAAGTGTTACGAGCTGACACCAATCCACATTCTCCATCTCCTACAGTGCTTAGGGGGAGGAGGTACAAGGACCAGGAGGGAAGCTGAGCCCGGGAAGAAGGGAGGGGTGGGGGAAAGGTGTTTTCAGGTTTGTTCTTATTTCTCATTTTCCTACTTTTTTTTTTTTTTTTTAATATGTTTAATGGCGACCCCTGGTGGTCTAGTGGCTAGGATGCAGCACTCTCACCGCTGTGGCCCAGGTTCGATTCCCAGTCAGGGAAACTCCCCCGGGCAGATGGAGTTTGTCAGCCCTGTAAGGCCATCCATCTAAGAGAAGGTCACTCTAAACAAACCTATGTCCTGAGGACCTCACTGCCACTGTCCAAGCTTGCTCGGCCCCGTCAGATGAACCTTAGGATTAAAGGGTGGGCTCAGTTCAGTGCACATTAGGATTAAAGGGTGGGCTCAGTTCAGTGCACACCATGTCTCACCTAAAAAATCCACTGCGCAGGCTCGAAGGGTAAAGACCTTTCCCAAATCTTCATTCACGAAGACTGACCATACTCATACTATACTCTGTTTAATTGGTAATAAGTTAAATCAATTTCCCCAAGTTGAGTCTGTTCCTCGATTTGAGCCTCTTAATTTCAGATTTATAATTGCCAAGAGAGAGGAGTTTGGTCTACCTCATAACTCATCCTCCTTAGCAAAACACTTCAGTCTCATTAAACTGAGACATCATCATATTTTCTCCCCCTGTCAAAGAGGGAGAGCGATGGAGTGGTGTGGTGGGCAACTGACTAGCCAAGATCAAACCACCACAGTTCTCTAAACCCCTTCATCACCATCTCCACCTTCCACACATCACCAGCCACCCATGACCTCTCCATACCCCTTGAGTCCACTGTCAGTGAAGGGTCTACCAGCTCTGCAACATTCATTATTGTACTTTATTTCCCCTGCTCTCAAGGCATGCCAATGGCACAGGCTACCCCGCAACATCCAGTGGCCTGGCCAATCTACTTCCAAAGCTCTCCTACCAGGCCTGGACAGTCTGAAATTGCTTGTGACAGGCCTGTGGCAAGTCCATGATGAGTCCACAACAGGTCCATGATGGGTTTCTGGTGGGCCCATGGTGGTCCCTTGGCACAGCTGCCAGTGACCCTCTCTGGGGACATCCTCACTTTCTGCCCACATGGTCCTTCAATGTCCCCAGCACTTTCTGTGCCTGCTTCAGGACCTCCTCTTCATCCACGCTGGGGAAGGCCTCGCTGGGGGTCATGGGGAAAGGGTGGTAATTTGGGTACTGTGTGGCCTCTCCATCCATGCCCTGTTTACACAGTCACTGCATGTCCAGTACCAGGCCCCTCAGTTCTGGCTCTTTTGCCTCCAACCATTTGGCAAAGCCCATCAGCCCCCCCAGGCCCTCAAAGGCTTCACCACGGCAAAGTACAGCAGCCACCAGTGCCTTCTCCAGGGCCTGGTGCACTTTGAAGAGGACCCAGTTGGGGCAGCAGCGCCGAATGCCATTGTGGGCTGCCTGCAGGTCACTCGTGGCCTGACGCAGCCACCGTAGGGCCTCGGGGATGGACAGAGTCAGGGCCATGGCCTCCTCAGTGCTCAGCCTGGAGCCACAACCTTTCTGTCCCCAGTGGTTCTGGGCAGTGCTCACAGGTTCGTACTGGACGCAGAGCTCCTGCAACACCTTTGGCCACCTGACAACATGCAGTGGCCTCAAGGCTGCAAGGCCGGAATCCACATCGCCACTCACCTTCCATGGCTTCCTCTCTGCCCCTGCCTCCTCCTGCAGCCTCTTCTCCAGCTCTGGTGCAGCACCCACCAGTGCCACATTGTTCTCCTCCAGAACAAAGGCCACATCCTGCGGCTCCTGGCAGACTAGCATTTCACGCAGTACGGACAAGGCAGGTGCCTCCAGCTGTCCACCCAGCATGTTATTGATCTCCTGTGCTAGTGTCTCCAGGACCCTCAGCTGGTACCGGTTCAGCACCATCTCTGCATGCCGGATGTAGAGGAGCCGCTGGGCACCACCTGACAGGCACGCATGGATGACTTGTGACTGGGAGCTGCCCTCCACCTTTGTCCCATTGTGGAGCAGCACAGTGCAGATGTTCTCACAGCACTGCACTTTCAGCTGCTCCACTGCAAAGCCACCATCCCCGTCCACTCCCAACACAGCCTTGTGGCTCTGCCACTGGAGCAGGGACACCAGCCCCAGTCTAAACCACAGTGATACCAGGAGAGTCTGCAGACACCTCTGCCCAGGGCAGTGAGAGCCGTAGCGACATGGCCATGGACTGCCCTCCTCCAGCTGCTGCTCTGTCACCTCTGAGAGTGCCCGTGGCCGCAGGTGTAGTGGTAGCATTTGCAGCAGCCACCTGGCATTACATCCTGTCACTGGCAGGTCAACCATGAACAAAAAGGTCTTCTTCAGGGCCTGAGCAGTCTCTGAGGGCAGGCAGTCATTGAAGCACAGCCTGTGGGATGGCTCTAGGCAGTCAGCAGTGCTCAACAGGTACAGCTTAGCCACAGCAGAACAATCAGGGGGCTCTGGTGCCTCCCGCAGCAGCTGGAAGAAGTGCTGTGTGGCCAGCAGGACCATCTTCTTCTGAACACTAGTGAGGGTCCCACTGACATGGCTCTCCTGGTAGATTTGGGCCAGGACATGGCTGTAGTGAGTCAGTGTGGGGAGCGTCACTACCCCAAGGTGTGGCAGGAGGTCTCCAAAGACAGCCACGTGTGGGTGAGGCTTGAGGAGGTAGGGGTAAAAGTCAGCCTCATCTGGGAGTGATGTCACCACTTGCCGTGGCCTGACCATGTCCCCTGACTTGGTCAGCACCACAGACAGCTCAGCAAGGTGCTCTGCATCTACCTCCTTCAGACGAGTCTGCAAGAAACTGTACATGTTCTGGAGCACTTTGGCCCGTGTTGTGGCATCTGGCAGGCTGCCCTGCACACATGCTCCAGGTTGGCCACCACCAGGGCAGTGGGTACCTCTACAAGGACTCCCATGGCCTTCAGGAACAAATTCTTGAGTTCAAGGGACTTTGGTGGAATGGTGGCTGACGTTCACAGCAGCTCAGCCACATTTCGGTAGTGGTAAATGCTGCCTTTCAGGGCCACAGGCTTAGTGCAGGTTGCAAAAGGGGGATGGAGGCTCCTCAAACTTTGGGGGATGGCCAGTGGAGGCAGGAAGTGGATTGAGGCAATTTGCCCTGGGAAACCCGCTGACTCAGTATTTTCCAACAGGGTTTCAAGCTGTTTGAGCATCTCCTGCTGTCGCTTCAGCAGGTTTGCAGTGTGGCAGGTAGCCTGAGCAGCTTCATGCTCTATCTCCTGGGCCAGTGCCACAAAATCCTCTACAGAGAGACTGGTGCGGACACCGGCCTCTAACAGAAACTCTTCAACTGCCAAATTCATCCCTAGCTCCTTAAAGAAAGATTTAGGCGCAAAGCGGTTTTGGAGCCACAGAGTGTGGAAGGAGGGCGCATTGATGTAAAAGTAGGAGGCTAAGCACAGTGTACCACAGGCATCGGGTATAAAGGGCACATTCTGAAATGCTGCCACAATAGCCTTCCTGGTCTGACTATCACAGATGGGTTGCAGGACAAAGAACAACCGTACAGCTTCCATAAGTTCTTGCTGCGTGAGCTGGGACAGCCAGGGTAGCACCACGGTGATGAAGAGCTTTTGGTCATCAGTGTCCTCCCATTTCAAATCCTTGGCCAGCCGCTTGTGGATTGAGTCTGATGTGAGCAGCACTGTGTCTTTGTCCAGGTTGTACAGGGCTTGGGCACCCAGGGGCACTTCCAGGTACTGTCTGTGGAGCAACAGTACCTTGCAGTAGGGAGCCACTGCTACATAGCCCCCACCAAATTTCTGGAAGAGAAGCAGGAGCTGGAGTTGCTCCAGTGCACATGAATCCAGCTTTCCCTGCACAAAGCACAGCAGAGTAGTCACATGCTCCTCCTTAAAGTCCCCCCAGCAAAGATCAGCTCCAGTGTCTACCAGGTGGACCACTACAGCCCTGGGCTCTGTGACCTGCAGCGCCCTTGACTTCAAGCAGAGGTGGGCAAAATGAAAGGGCAGCAGGGACCACTGGAGCATAGGGATGCCCAGTTTGTGCAGCACCTTTTCCACTTCTGAGTGACAGTTAAAAAGAACTCTGGAGAGGGAGGATAGTGGCACTAACTGCTTTGAGTCTGTATTATTCCCCTGAATAGGCAGCACTGCCATGTCCTGGAGATGACCCATGAATGACTTCATGTTCGCATCCAACTCCACTGAGGCCTTTCCCTGTGTGTGGACAACACTGTCAAAGAAGGTCCACAGTCCCTTGAGCCACTTTTCCCCCTCTGTGGTCCACTTCAGCTGACCCAGTGCCTCCTGGATGAGTGGTGTGGCTTCTGGGAGACCAAGCTCCTTCACAAAGTGAGGTGGGATCCAATCAGGAACACACTTTTGGGCAAAGTGGTGCTTGTGGTGGGGGAAGAGGTGGGCAAAGGAGTTCTTGAAGACTGGATGACGGATGCTGAGAGTATTCAGATAACCATCTTGTGTGGCTAGCAAGGGCAAGCCTTCCAGTTCTTCCTTGTCCACATCCTTGGGAGTACCTTGGGAGTACCCGCTCCATCCTGCTAAGTACTTCAGCAGGATGGAGGAGCTCTCCGGAGTCCCCAGGGATGTCTCAGCCAGCTTGCAAGGCACAGGCAGAGCCAGGGCCTTGAGGAAGTGCTGGAGAGTGGCTGGGCTTAAGGTAGCAGCATTCACCTGGGCTTCAATGAACTGCTCATGGATCTGCTGCAGGTGGGTGAATGCTGGAACCAGTTTCATGTTCAGGTGCTGCAGCACCTTCTGAACATCTGGGTCTGGCGTCACTTCAAGAAAGTATGGCTCTGTTAGCACATCCTTTCCACCTGGAGATGCCCAGGTGATTGTCACCATGCTGCCAGGTGACTTCTCGTGGTACACAGGCACCAGGGGCAGGTGTGCAGGACTCAGGTGCTCATAGACCTCCCTCACCACGTCCTGAAAGATAGGGAGTACCCTTGGCATAACAGGGAAAAACTGGAGGAAGTGTAAGTCCAGGTGCTGCTGGCAGAGATTCAGGGACTTGTACCGGAGCTCTTCTGGCCCCAAGGCTTTCCACTGCCTGGTGAGAAAGTCACAGTATAGTGGAACCACCAAGTGCCGGAGCAAGAAGTCATTCCAGGCTGCCTCTGTCCCCGCAAAGACTGCGCCTGGCTACATCCACAGAGAAGCTGGCATTGATGTGCACAGGCAGCCCAGTTTTTAACGGCAGTGGGAGGGTGCAGAAAGCTTTGCCTGTGATTGTGTTCAATGGCTCCAGGCAGGCAGCCACAGCCCCATAGGGCAGACACTCAAGCACCGGAGACTCCTCAGCCCCCTCCTGCACCCCAGTTTGGGAGATCACCCTCCACACAGTTCTGGTCTTGGCCTTGCTGTTTTTGACTTTCATGATATAGGAGACAGAGGTGGGGCCGTTCCCATCCATGACGTGGCTTAATCTTGCTTGAAAACCCCGTCTCAGCTCTGCATCACCATCTGTGAGCTCTGTTGTCCCCCACAGCCTCTCCACCAACTTTTTCCTATCTGGGGGGATCTCAGAGAAGACCACAGTGTGGATATGTTGGAAGAAGAGCACCAAATCCTCACCTTCCTCACCCAGTGTTTCCTCTATGTCCTCAAGGTCTTGGTCTTGCACAACCATGTCAGACACCCTGGAGTTGGGAACTTCAGCTGCAGTGCGGAGCGGTAGCCGGAAAAGGACACCCTGACTCAGGTTGAAGAGGGAGGGTAGGAAGGTGTCATAAACATCTGGAAAATTCTTCTTGAATTCAGGGTTGACAGCGAACATCCCACCAGGCTTCTCAGTTGTGGCTATGGGCACGTAGTAGAGATGGGGGTCAGAGACACACAGGGCACTGTCTCCAGTCAGGAAGGCTGGGCAGTCAGTAAAGTGGAAGACAGTGCTGAAACCAAGGCCATATTTGCCTGTGACATCCTGCCGGCCTTGCTTGCCACCCACCCCCAGACGTTGAATGCCTTCAATGTCCTGCTGCTGGAAGGGCCTGTCATTGTAGATGCAGAGGGCAGGGCCCTGCAGGACGTTCCATTTCTCACTGAAAGTGGCTTTCACTGGGTGCTGCTGGCGGTCCCACACAAAGTGCACAAGCCCCGCACCAGTATCATCTGCATTCTGGAGCACCTCTTTCACCATATCAGAAGCCGATGCTGGGTACTCCTTTAAGATGTTCTTCAGATGGGTTGGTAAGTCTTCACAGGCACCAAATGGCTGTGCCCAGAGGGTCAGGTCATCAGTGATGAGTTGACTCCTCTCCAGTGCTCGGTGAAGTGTGGTAGGCACCCCACAGCGCAGGGTTGCAGCTTGGGACAGCTGTTTATGGCACAGGAGGACATCTCTGTCCAATTGCATCCATGGTGTATTGTTGAAGTGAAGCTTGTCCTGTGGATGCAAAATGCCCTCCTCATCAGGCAGAAAGAGTCGCTGGGTCTGGTAGGCATCTGGCTTGTTGCCATCTTCCATCAAGCCACAAGACACCAACCGTAAGGCCAGAGCCAGCTCCAGGGTAGGCAGTGGCTTTCCAGCATGTGTCTCTGCCAGGGTGCAGAGCACTCGGGCATAATCATCCCAGGTGAAGGTGTGGCGCAGTCCCACACACTCCCAGAGTTGGTCATAGGGCTTGTATTGCTTTTGGAACTGATGAAGGTATGGGACAGCGTCAAATGACAGTGTCTCAGCCACGGCTATGACTGGTACAAAATGGGAGCCCACCAAGATGAAGGGTTCCCCTTGGGCCACTGCAGAAGCCACTTCATCCCAGCTGGAGTGACCTTTCTGGAGCAGTATGTTCAGGTGCTTGTAGCAGCAGTTGGTGCTGTCCTGCAGGTTCTCCAAAGGGAGAGAGTTGGAGCTACAGCTCAGTGCCTGCAGCTGCTTAAGGACTGTAGCTGATGGTATCTGCCGGTCCAGTCCCAAGGGAGGCTGAAGTTTTCCCCCAGTGCTTTAGGAGCCAAGATAGGGTGAATGAGTCCCACTAGAGGGGCATGGAGGTGATGGTAGAGCTGGGCAGCTGGCAACAGCACATGTTCACCAGAGGGCAGTGTACCAGGGAGGAAGGGCACAGTCTGGAAAGCGACCTGCAGGGTATTGTTCACTCTCTCCTTCACTGCATCCTGAAGCAGCTCAAGGATACAGGTAGCCCTCTGGCAGCCTTGAGCACGATTCTTGGTCCAGACAAGCTGCACGGTCTTTGCCCGCTCCAGCAGCTCTGGCAGGGCCATTGTGTTCTTCACCATGCCCAGCCTCTCCAGTTGGTTTAGTCTCTCTGGGGAAAGGAAGGCATTCCCAGTGGGGAAGCACCGATCCTTAGGGTCATATAAAGGGGCAGCACGGCCTCTGGGATGCACCAAGCGATTGATGAGCTGCAGGTGGCCATGAGGGGTGGCAGGAATGCAGGACACTGTCTGCAGCACTTTGTCCACATCATCATGGGCTATATCCAGTGCATGGAGAAGCAGTGGGTTCCGGTCAACAGCAGAGAGCTTTTCCAAGTTGGGAAGCACGAGATCACAGTAAAAGCGGGGCCAGTCATAGGTGCCAGCATCCACTGCCTTCTCAACGCCCTTCTGCACATGCTCTGGCAAGGCCACAGCTAACAGGGGATGGGGCACAGTGGTGGCAAAGACACGCTTCGCCACATCACCCAGCTTGGGGTGTCTGTCCACATCCTGGTGTAAGAAGCAGGCATCCTGCAGTGAGCACCATGAGCGGCCATCAGAAAAGAGCCTGGGGCCATTCCTGGCTGCCACAGCATGGTAGAAACCAGTCACGGCCTCTGTAAAGGGGTAACGGGCAGTGTTAAAGTCTGGCCAGAAGAGATGATACTCATAGTTCTTCAACTCACCTGCCTCATGCATGGCATGGAGGTGGTCTAGTGCCTGGAGCCAGGTAATTGGCACAGCATTGTGAAGCAGCAGCCGGTTCCACTTACCCCGCTCTGCGGTGTCCCACAGCCCCTTGCGGTTTGAGAGGATGCTGAAGGCCCCATGCACATGGATTGGTAGCCCTGAGATGACTGGTATGGGAAGGTGGCAGAAGACTTGCCCCTTCTCGCCATCCAGGCGCGGCACCCACTTGCCGTCTTCAGTAAGGGGGCAAGGGGAAGGCCCACACCAGCCATGGGATGTGGAGGACGGAGTCCTGCCCGTGTGTCCTGGTGAAACAATTCCAGCAGTTCCCCATCACCCTGACACACCAAAACCAAGTAGTGCCGTATGGTCTTGGATTCCTCCTCGCAGGTTGAGAGCTGCTCAATGGTCGCCCAGCTTGGGGGGTCCCCAGGGGACCCCAAGTCTTGGATCTCCTTTCGCCACAGCGTGACCAGAGGTATGGTATTCTCTGCGGAGGTGGCCATGTCTGGCAGCATCTCCAAGGACAGCTCCCTCACCTTCTTCAGGAAGAGCAGCAGGAGCCAGTTAGAGTCAAGGAAACCAGTGCCAAGGGACTGGATGCGCTCTGTACCAAAGACCTCTGAGCAAATCTGCGATGTAATGGTTTCCTCTTCAGTGCGAAAAGGCAGGCGGAAAAGGTTCCCTAGAAAGGGTCCTGGCTCAGGCAGGCAGCACCCAAAGATACCATGGTAGGGTTGGAACTGCTCAGCAAAGACATGGAGGATGCGTGGTCGGCTGGAGAAGTCCAGGTGGATGCCAGGGCAGCCGGCCCTGGGGATGTGTTTGCCCAGATGGGTGCCATTGGGATCAAAGACGAACAGCGTCTCCCCACTCAGCACTGCTGGCACATCTGTGATACGGTAGATAGAGCTGAAGCCCAGCCCAAAGCGCCCAATCCGGCCTGCCTGCCCCTCCTTTGTAGCAGCCCCAATCCGCGTGATGTTACGGAGGTCATCCTCTGCGAACAGGGCATTGTTGTAGACCCAGAGGGCTGGACCGTGGCAGGCAACCATGCCTGGGTCTAGCAGCCCAGAGGTGGCCTTTCTGCAGCACCGGAGGTCCAGGAGGAAGCGGCACACAGTAGCTCCGGCATCCTCTGCATTCTGGACCATCTCTGTGAAGAGGTCGCTCTCTTCGCCATACTCCCGGAGGATGTTGCAGAGGCGTAAGGTGATGGGCTCCGAGGGACCACAGGCTGGGAATGGCTCTGGCCCCAGCACCCGCATACTGAGCAGCTCTGCACCAAGGAATATGGTTGTGCTGGATGGTACAGCCTCATGCACCACCTCCTGAACATCTTCCTCATCCTCCAGCTCCATGTCCAGGTACAAGGTAGAGGCAGCTGGGCAAAGGGCAAAGCCTGAGCCCTCCAGAATCCTCACAGGAACCGGCACGGTGCCCTCGCCCTGGTGCCCCCGACTCTTCAGCCACTCCAGGACGGCTACAACTACCTGCAACTCTGTGGCAGTGCCCGCTCTGGAGCTGCATGTGTTTATGTCCTGCCCCAGGCAGTGCAGGGCTGACACTGCCCTCTCCGCACTCACCCCCACTGCCACCCCCCCCCCAGCACTGAAGAGGTAGCTGTAGGGCAGGAAGTCAGGGGGCACCCAGGGCACCAGCATCCCCAGTTCCAGTTCCTCAGGATAGCCCAGCATGGCATCACGTGGCAGGACAAATCCAGATCCAGTCCACACCACAGCATCATCCGGGGCGGTCCTAAAGACCTCCAGGTTTTCTTGCATGTGCCAGTAAATGGGCTGGAGAGCGGAACCCACCTTATCCATGTTCCCATGCCTTGCCAGCTTTCTCACCTGCTCCCACACTCTCTCTGGTGGTGGAGTCTGGCTCAACCCCAGCTCTTTCTCTGCCTCTGGCAAAAAGGCATCAGTCAGGGGCATGGCAAGCCCCACTAGGCACTGGTACTGAGTGGATCGCAGCTCCATGGGTGGCAGGAAAGGCTGCCCAGGCATTCCAGTGCACTTGGAGCAAGGCACCCACGGCAGGGCCTGAAGCCTCTGGAGCTCTGCAGCACTGAAGTCAGCCATTGCCTTGGGGAGGTTGCAGACCTTGATCAGTGCCTCAGCCCTGTCCAGAGCCACTGTGTCACCCTGACTCACTTTTGCTGCAACCAAGAGGATGTCTGAAGGCAGCAGGCACCCCTCACTGTGCCCCAAGCCCAGGGCCCTCAAGGCACGGAGGACAGACAGTGGAAGGCAGCAGGAGGAAAGCGCTCAGGTCCCAGCAGTGCCTGCAAAGTGCTGTCGCAGGGGTCGTAGAGGTCTCGCGGGCAGACAGGGCCATTGGGGGTCTCCAGGAAGGCCAGCTCACTGCAGGCTTGCCGGAGCAGGGGGCTCTGTGCAAAGGCAACCTCTCCGTGCTGCAGAAGCACAGTAGCAGAGCCTGTGTCTCAGCCGCCCGCCCTTCATAGGCGCCTTGGGCCACGGCTTTGATGGCCTTCAGCATAACGTTGGCTGCACTGATGAGGGGCCTCTGGAGCCTCCCAAGGAGCTGCTGGTCAGCTTCATCTCGGCACTGCAACATGGCCTCCAGCAGAAGCACATCTCTGGGCAGCTCCAGCTCTGGTTCCAGCATCGGGGTGGCATTAGCTGGTACCAACTCTGTGGGCTGTGGCATAAAGAGAGGCAGAGCAGCCAAGGTGGCCCTGTCCTGCTCTGTCAGGGATGGGACATCTGCCAGGTAGAGCTGGAGGGTGACCACATCCACATCAGGCAGTGAGGTCATGCGAGAGGCCACTGCTACAACCCCCTGCCTGCCCAGGGCTCGCAAGGCATTGAGGGGGGATGGAGGCAGGACGTAGTGGGACAGGGAGCGGTGCCACATGCCCGGTGGCACCACTGGGCAACCCAGGACCTCCAGTACAGAGGCCACAGCAGGTGGCAGGTGCTGGTCCTCCCATGCCTGGAAAATGAGACTGGACTCAGGTATAAGCAGAGCCAGACAGATACTGGGGGCATCCAGTGGGGACAGGGATATGAGAGGAAGCCCCTCCAGCGGGTCCAGGTCTTCCACGTGGTGGGCCAGGAATTGCCACAGGGCTGGGAACCAGGAGGCTGGGGGTTGGGGAGGTCCTTGGGCCGGGCACCAGGTCACTGGGGTTGAAGACTGGGATGTCCAGGCGGGGGGCAGACCCAAGTGCAGGGTCTGTACAGTCACAGCTGGGTCCAGCAGAACCAGGTTGGGGAAGAGACCTGTGTGCAAGAGACAGAGGCTGGACTAGAAGCACATGGGACCTGGGACCTGACAGGGGGACCCAGGACATGGGGGAAAGAGCCTGAGATCTGTAGGGGATGGGTGGCCCCCCATACTGGAGATGGGAGGACCTGGGTTCTGGAGGGATAGTGGATACCCTGAATAGGAGGACAGTAAAACCCCAGACTGGTGGAGATAAAGGAGATCTGAGAGGGAAAAGAGGTGTTAGGGGGACCAATATTAGGGGGCACTGGTCTTCAGATGAGGAACACAAAGACACCCAGAATCCAAGGGAGCACAGGGGGGACAGGGGAATGTGGGAAGAACAGCAAGAACAGTGGAGTCCCCAGAGACACAGGGAGATACAGGGAGATACTGGGGCTGCAGAGGAGCCCCAGGCTATACGAGGGGGTGGTGCTGTTGGTGTTTAGACGGTAACCAGGGGACCGAAGACAGTCCAGGGCCCCCCCCCTCTTACCTGTCTTGGCAATGCCTCGCAGGAGGCTGTCCAAGCCCAGCTCCAGGTCTGAAGGCAAGAAGGACCCCATCAGGCCAGGTAGGAGCTCCCTGTGGGGACAAAGAGTGGTGCTGGGGGACTAGAGGGGTAATGGGCGGCAGATAGCTTCCTAGACACCTGCTTCAGCTCCCACTTGGTGACACCAGGTGAGAGGAGGGCAGTGAGGATCCCAAATGTCCAGGTTCAGCTGTGGTCCCCCTTTCCAGCTCAAGAGTGGGAGCTGCACCTCTGTGCTACTGGCTCTCCTGTCCGCTCCACAGGGAATGGGGCTGCCAGGGGCTGAGGGCTTACCTGGGGCAGTCGGATGTGTCCATGTAGACAATGGCTGATGCAGTTCCAAAGGCCTTTGGAGGGGCGAGGCAGGAGGGGGAGACCCCGGAGCTCAGCATGGCACCCATCCCCGGCCACGTAACGCAGCAGGGAGAGACGGTCGGCAGCTGGGAGGTCGATGACCCCATGGCGCTGCAGCACCTCCCGCACGTGTCCCACTGTGGCCTCCCGCACGCCCTTTGGCATCACCAAAGCCAGTGCCCTGCACACGTGGGCTGGGACCTCAGCCAACGGCTCCCCAGCTGCCACCAGCAAGGCCCGGACTGCCTTCTGTGCAGCCACGTCCCCCACAGCCTCCGGCAGCAGCACAGCCTCAGGCGCCTGCAGATGCCCTGCCACCCCCTCTGCAGCTGGCACCAGTGGTGTGCAGGTAGGTGCTTCATGGTAGTAGGACTCGGACAATACATTGTTATTAAAGCCTTTTATATTTAAACTCAAATGTGCCTCAAGGGGAACAATAAGGGGTACATCCAGCTCAGCAGGATGAGGCTGTTGGTGCTGTTTGTGTGAGGGGGTGTGTGCCTGTATGGATTTGTGAGGTTGGCTGTGTGTATCCCTGTGTGTCCTATGATGGCTCCACAATTGGCTGGACCTGGGGGCTTGGAGCTGTTGGCAGCCTCGTCTTCCTCGGGCTGCTGGATGCAGTAACTTCTAACAGTGGTGACAGAGGGGGAAGCCCCTTCCATGGTCCCGTGCCCTGGATGTGCACCCAGAGGCTGGTCTCCAGCCAAGGGATGTGCCCCTCTCCAGAGGGGCACAAGGAGTCCAGTATGCCCATGGATGAGCCCCATGGCAATGCCACCAACTCCATCCTGGATGGAGAGAGCCAGGACAGAGCCTGCAGGGTGGGCCAGAGGTCGTTCTCCTCTGGGCTCTGGTAAGACCAGAGCAGTTTGTTGTGGCCTGTGGAGAGTATTACAGAAATGTGGTTGATAGAAAGAGGACACGAGAAAGATGCTATAGCTCTGGTCCCACGGTAAGGGAAAACTATTGGAAGGTCACTGTATCTGTGAAACTGCATACGTGACAGAAGAATAGAATAAAGCGGATGGGAAAGCAGAGCGAATAGCAAATAAGTAACTATAAGAGTATGAAACAAAACAGCATTCACACAGCATTTGCGCAAATATATTTTAGGTAATCAGAAGCCAATGATGAGCTTAGCTTTTGTAATATGTATGAGGCTAATTATTAAACCTTTATAAGCACAATGCACGCAGCAATAAAGTTGGATAAGTTATGATCAATTCTGTGGTCGTGTGTTTTTATCCTGTCGTCTACAACAGTGGCCAGTGGAGGTTGTGGAGGTGAATGGGCCTGAAGGGAGGCTCTCCAAGGAGGTGCCAAGAATCAGTTGTGCCTGGGGGAGGCAAAAGGGGGTTAGTCAGGAGACAGGGCCAGAGGAGGTGCCCAGAACAGAAGGAGGCCGTAGGGCACCCTACTGCCCAAACTTCTCCTAGCCCATGATACCTCCAAGGGAGACTGAAAGGGCTGAAGGGGGAAGAAAGTAAAGGGTGGAGAGAGTCTAGGAGGGACCACAGGGGTTCTGGAGAAGTCCAGCGGCCACTTTGCCTTTCCCTTCTGGGTTACACCCATATAAACCCCAGCTGCCCAGCCTGGAGTCCTCCCGACTTTTCCTGCTGTGGCCAACTGTGGCAGAGGTTGCACACACACAGGGGGCAGGACATGCTGCCTGCAGCTCACAGGAGGACAGGGAGCTACAGACGCTGCAGCCTTCAGAGCAGAACCACTGGACAAGCTGCCACGTGTCCCACACAACTCCAGTGCCACAATCCATCCATTCCCTGCTCCCACATCACCTGGAGATGTGACTTCCCCTGTTTAATCAGACGTACATTATAGCCAAAGGGAGCTCTGTCTACATCCCCGGCCAGCCCAGTCAAGATGCAGCTGAGGTTGGAAGTCTGGCTCCCGGTGGGGTGGAAGGGAGCAGCAATGTGGAGTAAGGATGTTCCATTGCTCCAGTGTGGGAATGAGGAAGCCTGGGTGGATGGGGATTGAGACCATTCCTGAAAGGTGCATCCAGACCTACAGGTTGGAGGTATTGCTGTCCCTCCTCCAATGACAGACACTGCAGGCCAGGAGAAAAATCAGCCCCCGAGAAGGCCAAAAGGGAAGCCAAGTTCCTTCCATCCTATTCCATTCTGTTGAGCCACCAAGCCTGTGGTTTTGCAGTTGCAAAACAACTCCCTATTTCACAAGGCAGAAGGAAGACATTTCCCCACCAAGTGACCGGAACTAAGAAAGAGAAACAAAAAGTCCTGAGGGCTTTTCTCCCAGGGTCTGCAGGATCCTAAGACCAAGTCATCACGGGGGCCCAGACCCAGGCATGTGACTAGGACATTGTGGTTCCAGTTCAACCATCCCAGTCCTGCATTTGTGTTTGCAGAAACCCAAGCTGTGCGACAGAAGGTGGCAACGAGGTCATATCAGGACCCACAAGAAGCCACCCAGCTGCTCAGTGCCTCCTAGCCAGCGCCTTCCTCTGAAGAAGCCCTGCTGAGTCGAGTACTGAGAGAGCCAAGAGGAATACAATGCTGCCTGTGACCCATGTGTTGGCCTTCGGTGAGTGCCAGAGGCTGTGCAGGCTCCCAGAGGGTGGCAGGAGACATCCAGAGACTTCACATAGATGTTACACAGCTGCTTCTCTTGCAGGTGCTTGGCTGGTGGCACAGAGCAAGGCTGCACCAAGTGAGTATCTTGAGGAGGTAGTTGGGGAGTTTGGACTCATCTCTGGTCCCCACCCATCTCCTAGGGAAGTTCTGTGTGGAGATCGTGCCCAGAAGCAGCCCCAGGCTCATGTCAGGGTAGCTGCTGGGGGCTCCCTGTCTGTCTGGCAGCATCTCTCTCTCCCTGTGCAGGTGCTCCAACAATCTCCATCTTCCTGAAGCCACCTGGGGTGATCCCACCAGGAGGCTCCACCACTATCTGCTGCAGCTGCCAGCATGGCAATGGGAACTTCATGCTGTACAAGGATGGCCACCAGCTCCGTACCCTGGAGCAGAGTGGCAGCAGGGCTGAGTTCTCCATCTCTAATGCCACCTACAAGGACACAGGTACCTACAACTGCCATTACCTGGAGGGAGGCACTGTGCTGGCTCGCAGCGATGGCCTGGATGTCATGGTGACAGGTGAGAGATGTGCTGTTACCCCTTCTTGCGGGGTCACATGCCCTATGTGCAGACTGGGATGCATGCAGACACTTGGCTTCCCTATCCATATGATGGGCAGAGGTTTTCTCTTCTTCCCTGGCTTGGAGAGGTGGGGACCATCTGTACCTTCGTCTAAGCCTTTTGATGCATTTATGGAGGTCTTGGTGGCTCCTGGCACCATGTCAAAGCCCTGTACGTCTTCTCAAGCCCTCTCCTGTCCCCCCAGGGATCCATCTCCCTGGACCCGACCTGTCTGTCCTGCCTGGGCATGAGGTGACTGCAGGAACTCGTGTGATATTCCGTTGCACCCCCACACACCGCAGTACTGGCTGTTTCCTGTACCTGGAGGGCCAGATCCGAGCCCAAGTACTCTCAAGGGAACAAGATGACTACAACTTCTCCCATGTGCAGAAAGGTGAGGGGGGCCGCTACAGCTGCCAGTGTTTCACCAAGAATGCTTCGATAGAATGGTCTGCTGTCAGCAAGACCCTGGATTTGGTGGTGAGAGGTGAGACATCCCCCCAGCCACATCCTACTCTTCTCTTCCTCCTTGCAATCCGTCACATCCTGGGGGAACTAGAAAAGAGGATTTAAGGGAGGAAAGCAGCTGTAAGAGGGATCCAAGCAGAAGATTTCAGCTTCCTTCAGCTGTTTGAGCCTGGCCAACTCCCAGAGACCCTACAGATGACCTACAGACCCTATAGACACAAGGTTACTAGGCTGACAGTTGGGGGTAAGAGTCAGGGGACACTGTCCCTGCACCTACCAGCCCCACGGACAATCATATGTCTTGTCACAGCTCAGTGGCACCGTCTGGCTGGTAGGAGCAGCTGAGGGCCACCTCAATGTTCCTTTGGTGCCACTGGGTGGGGTGAGAGGTGAGAGTGGGGTGAGAGGCTATGAGTAGAGGGTGTTCCAGGAGATAGGGATGTGGGAGGTGAAGCTGACAGGAGCCCATGGGGCTCCCTTTGCTCCCTGTGAACTTCCCTTTATCTCTCTTTAGCCCAGGAACTCCCCAGTGTGTCCCCTTATCCTTGTGTCTCTTTTCCCTCAGTGCCCTGTGAATCCCCTTGGAGGATACCTTTGGTCTGGGATCTCCTGGGGGACTCCTCCCAGGGGCTCCCAGTGACCGTCCCTTCCTGTCCCCTGCAGATTACAAGTTGTGCAACGCAGTGCGCCTGGCGCTGGGGGCCGGGCTGCTGGTCCTGCTGGGGCTCATTACGGCTGAAGCCACGCGAGGCCGCTGCTGCCGGGGCGGGAGGGCCCACGCTCTCCCCGCAGGCAGCGCTCCCCTGACTGCGACCAGTGTGGGAACACCGGGATTCCCTTCCTGCGCCTCGCGGTGGGATAAATAAACCGTTCCTGTCGCTGTCTCTGTCCCTGCCCCCGTCCCTTGTCGCTGTCGCTGTGTCTGTCCCTGTCCGCTCGGGGGTCCCCGCAGGACGGGCGAGGAGGGGGTACCCGGCGGAACACGCAGAAGGGCGGGGGTTCGGGAGTGGGCGGGACCCATGCCCGTGGAGGAGCGGGGCTTGTGCTGGGGGCGGGGTCTGCGCTGCCACGCACAGTGACTGTACCCGTCCGGCAGTGGCCGCTGCACTGAGCTCTCCCTCTGCGCCTGACCCCCTCTGTCTCCACAGTGACCACTCCACTGATGTCTCCTGCCACACAGTGACCACCCTGGCCACTCAGTGACCGCTCCTGCGCAGTGACCACTCCTGTGGCACAGTGACCACTGCCCTGGTACAGTGACCACGCTCGTGAGCACAGTGACCGCTCTTGTGGCTCAGTGACTGCTCCCACTGCAGAGGCCTCCATTGCTTACATTCGTTTATTATTTTAAAACACTGACGAAACACATCACATCCTCATCTACATATATAAATTTACTTTTGCACCACTATAAATTTATATATATAGGGCCTTTAAAACTCTGTACGCTCAGGACACACAGTTCTGGAATAGCTGCACTGGCTACAACAAAAGGATTTTTGTTATGAAAAGGAGGTGCCAATATCAAAAACGCAGAAAAAAAGAAATTAAAAAAGAGTGCAAAATGAATGAAAGTGCAAAAAGCTTTTGTTATCATAATCACACTCTTTCCACAATATGCTCCCCATTTTCCCCTTCAAGGACAAGGAAGGCTCAGGCCCCTGAGGGAAAGTCTGGGCTGGAAGAAGGGAGCCTGGCTACAGCCCTCTTGTCTTTCCCTCTGAGCACCTGAGGAGTTCTCTCCTGGAGGCTGAGGAGTGAGGAACAGGACTGGCCAAGTCACATCCCTCTCTCAGCTCCCTCCTCTTCTCCAATGCCCTCATTGCACTCATGGCCCCAGATGTGCCTCTGCAGACAGCAGCTGCCCTAAGCCCTCGACCCTCCTGGACAATTTGGAGGGTTTTTTTCTTTTCTAAAAGTGCTAGTGATCGCCATGGAAATCAGCAGAGGAAGGCAGGGGTGGGCAGCTGTGCTCTGGCAGGGCAGGCACAAAGCTTCAGCCTGCTGAGCTTCAGGCTGGCTGCTCTCATGGAAACAGAGACCTTGGCTTGCAGTGTCCCAATGCTGTCTGTTTCCATGAGGAGGGAGAAACACCTTTCCAAGAGGCTCCAACTGCTCCCATGCACCCAGAGTCAGCCCCAGATCAGCCCCCACAGAAGACACCCCATGCCTGAGGCTGGTGCATTTGGTGGGACCTCTCCCATGGCTCCAGCTAAGCCCCGCCAACACCAGTTGCAGGGGCAGGAATGGCAGAAACATAGGCTTGGGGGCCTCCAGTCAAAAAAACATTTGACTTCAAAAACTCTTCATTGACTTAGAAATTTTGGCTGCAGTCACATCTCTCAGAAAGGTCCCAGAGAGGAACTTGTGGGCCAGCCCCAGCCCCGCTTTCCTCTCTGGCTTCTTAGTGACACAGCAGTGAACATCCCTGTGAGCAATCTGGTCCGGCAACAGGGGAAGGACAAAAAACTTTGGTGCTTCTGCCTTGGTCACAGCTGTCCTTGATGGTTCCTGATGGGGGACTCCCACTCAATGCTCTGTGGGGATGGAGGACTTGCCAAGGCCAGGGGTACAGCAAACCTTCCTTCTTCTGGCTTCCTTGCTGGACCAGGGACAACTGCTCATGGAGGACACATCACCTGAGATCCTGTGACAGGCATCTGCTGCCTTCACAGTCACAGAGACCACCCTGAAAGAGTGACACACCAACAGCGGGGGAATGGTGTCATGGTACTCCCACAAACACCCATCCACATGTACACACACGATCCTTTGGGTTTAAAGGACACAAGAAGGTTATAAGTTTTAACAGTAAATAGCCCTTGATCACCTACAAACCCTGTAACTCCCTCACCCAGACGAATCCAGCAGCTCTGTACCCCAATGGCCGAGTGAGCCCGAGAGGCTGATGAAGTGATGCTCGATTCTGCAGGTGTGTGACACAGACTCTCAGATCTCTCATCACCCTTCTTGTGGAGCTGGTGTTCCTGACAGCTGCTCCCTGTGCAGAGCTCAGACCCAGTGGAGACCTGGCCTCCAGCTGTGCAGCCAGACCCCCCCAGCCAAGGGGCAGCACTCTGGCAGTCCTGTTCAGTTTGTGTCTGCTCTCGAGCCCAGGTCAGGCAGTGCCATGGCTGGCACAGTGCAGAGATGCAGCTCTGCCTGTTTTGCTGGGGCCCAGGCAGAGCATGGCTTGATTGCACCTGACAGCAGAGCAAGAGCGAGTGGTACTGGTTGTACCCAGACTTGTGGTCCAGCCAGGGCTTGGCTCATGCCTCCTATTCCCCTTCATCAGGACCTTTTAAGCTTCCCACCACCTCTGCACTCCCAGGCAGCCCTGTGAGACACAAGGCTCTTCATCCTTCACACTAGTTTCAGATCTGATGCCTGGGTAGCAGCTCCTCTCCAGCACCTTGGGATGGTGCTTAGTCCCTTCCCCAACAGAAGGAATAACTTCACACATGGGAATGGAGAAGATGAAAACAGGATGCTTTCATAAGACATTTCCTTCTAAACTCAATAGCCATGTCCAGTGCCTTTTTGTGCCTAATCACATCTGGAGAGGTCTCAGCATCATTTGCAGTCTCACAGCTGAAGGTCCCAGGGCTCCTCCTCTTCTTCCCCAGCACACAGGGGCCCAGAAAGAGACTCTCCATCAAATGAAGAGACTACTGCAGACAAAGGGTGTTGTGGGGAGCGACTGTGGGAACCAGGGGCACAGCTGTTCCTTACCGCTCCCTCTCTCCACAGCTTGCCACACTGCAGTGCTTGAAGAGATGGAAAGATCCTCCCCAACCGACCACAGGGAAAAGAGAGGGAAAGCTGCCTAAATCAAACCCAAGCCTTGACAAAACAAAGACATGGACCAGTTGCAAGTCCTGCGTGAAGAGCAAGTGGCAGACGTTTCAAGAGCAGGTCAAGTGTGACCCCAAATATTCAATAAAACAGAGTCAAAATGCTACATTTCCATTGGAAGCCTTGAACAGGTTGACCCAGGGGTGACAGCGGCTCTCAAGGCAGTGCTGCTCCAGGACATCTTGCTGGTACACTTGCTCACATCTCTTCATCCCTGTCTTTGAGCACTGGGAAAGGGGGAGATTGTTTTGCTACTGATATGCCATTCTTAGGAATGGAAAAGAAAGTGAACATGGGACTGGGATCACATTGCTGCAGACTATGGAGAGCCTGTGGGCAGGTGGCTGTCCTCCAGCACTGCACTGCTCCAACGGCTCCCACAGTGGGCACACACAGGATGATGGATCATGGAGAGCAGCATGGATGCTGCCAGGAGGCACAGGGACTCTCTGAGGACCCCCAGGCATGTTGGCTTTCCGGGCTTTGCAGCCCTAGCACTCTTGGTCTCTCTTCCATTACAAGGGACAGCACTACATGAACATTCCCAAAGTGCCTGTAGCCTTGTTGAAAAGGTGCTACGTTCCAAAAAGGACAGAAACAAACCAGTTAAGTGCTGTGTTTCTTTTAGCTCTGCAGGTAAGGGATCCAGGGACAGCAGAGGATCCAGCTCTTCAGACAGCAAAACCTGGGTGCCTTGTGAGGGTAAAAAATGAGGAGAAAGCAGTTTGGCAGGATTCAGTCAGCCAACTCAGGAACACCTTCAGAGGTGACTGTGGTTCTGTCTATGGAGCAATGGATGCATCTTGACCTTGGCAGCTGCCTCCACTCTAGAGCGCCTTGCTCCTAATACATGGACCAAAGAGGGCCCAACTCTCCTTTGCAGAGGACTCTTTAATTGCTGTGAGGGGAACAAGTTATCCAAGCATCCTTTCTCCTGGAGAAGTGCTGGACAAAACAGTCTGAAGCTCAAGAAGAAACAGAGCCTGTTCTGCCCCCAGCCAGCCCTGGCCCTGCAGGGCCCTAAGGCTGCTGCATTACAGGAAAGAGGAACAGAGCACAGGTGCTGGCCGTGGGCAGAGCAGCAGCCAGGACACCTGATTCCTGAAGGGGCAAGAGGTGGCCACTGGTTTCCAGTGCAGCAAAGGGGCAAAGCAAAGTCATCATCTGGCCTTAAAAAGTCAAAAGAATTCAGAAAAAAAGGCAAAATGAGAACAAGCTCCTTGGGAGTGTCCCTTTGGAATGGTGTCAGCACAAGCCCCGCCACAGGATCATAGTAAGGGAAAAAACCCCAAATCTCTCTCAGCTGCTGAGCAAAGGCAAGAACAGCCCCTCAATGGTTGCGAGCACAGACACAGGCAGTCAGTCCCTTCCCACGTCTGGGTGAGTCGAGTAGTGGTTTCAGTCCTCACCCTCCACAGTGGTCCCTCATCCCTCAACACCCTCTGAACCAGTGCAGTCACAGCAGGACATGGGGGCATCTGTGGTGCTCAGATAGGCCACTCTCCATCCCTGCAGCCACCTCCGAGGCCTGGAGTCAGCCTGTACCTAGCACTGGAAGAAAAGGGCAGTGTGGAGGGAAGAAGATGGGAGAGGGAGTGGTGAGAGAGCAGAGATGTGGCATCTGAAAGGACATGAGCAGGACATGACAAGCTGTGGTTGGTTGGGGGGATCTCTGTCCTGACCAGACAGTTTGGCAGCACCAATGCTGAGGGAGGGTCCTGATTGGGCCAAGAAAAGTCACTTTAAGGTGTCATCAGCGTTCTTGAACATGAGGATGGCATTGTAGATCTTGAGTGCTGGGCCCAGCTTGACACTCATAATCTTGACTATGTCAGCCTGCGTCAGCAAGAGGAACGCCTCACCATCGATCATCTGGGGAGGAGAGCAGGAACAAAGGCACTCACCAAAAATCCAGGCTGGCATTCCTAGGGACAGCCAACACAAGCACGACCTGAGAATCTGCACAGTCCCACTTACAGGTGAGCCCAGAGAGCCGGACAGAGGCCACCCGCAGCACTCCCACACTG